AACCCTGAGCAAGTCACTTAATCTTTGTTTGCCTCAGTGTCCTCGACTATGAAATGGTAATAATGGTAATACCTAACTCACAACAGAACTGTTGTGAGGGACAAATAAGTAAAGCACTTAGTGTAGCATGTGACACATAGTAGGTGCTATACAAATACTTTTTTTTCTCTTTCATAGATTTAGGACTAGAAGAGATTTTAGAGAATACATAGTATCACCCTCTCATTTTATAGATGAAGACACAGGTTCAGGTAAAATAAGCAACTTATCCAACCAAGATTATACAGGTAGTAAGCTTTAGATGTCAAATTTGAACCCAGGTCTTCTGACTTAAAGGTCAATTTTGTCTTCACTGTACCAGGCTATTTATCCACTCTATGGATTATGTAAAGGAATATTTCAAAGCGCATGTGGTTTCCTACTGTTATTCAATCCATTCTACTTGTGTCTGGCATTTGTTGTCATATATGTATGTGTGTATGTATGTATATATATATATATATATATATATATATATATGTAAAATGCAAAATCCTTTCAATATAAAGTCTGAATGGTACCAAAATTAGTAGGAAAAGTTGTTCTACTCAAAAAATCAAATTATTCATTTAAATACCTTTGCCCCTTCTCCTCAAAGTGTGAAAAAAGAATCATCAGCTACTTTCTGGAGTTATTTGTCTTCTAATCTGAAACTGATTAAAGTACCTTTCTAGGATCAAAGTTTTATGTCAGACATCACAGTAATTAGGTACCACTCTGTTGCTTTTGTTTTTCTATAGAGAACACAATAAAAGACTATGAAGTGGAGAATCTAAATTCTACTTTGTAAATAAGGATTTTTAAATGTAAATTTACCCTTTAGATTGAGCCTGATACTTTCAGTCATAAGACAATTTACTTCATTTTGTTTTTAATAAGAAACTGAACAGAGGAAAACTTTTTAATTTTTCATAGCAATGTGTGCCATGTACATTATATATTTTTCCTTCTCTAAATATAAAGATAAATGGTTATATCAGTGAGATTACCTTTATAATATTACATAACATTTTATGTGAAGAGTAGTGGAAAGTGTCCCAATAAATTCTTTATGTTTTCAGCCTAACATCGTCGTAAATATAACTCATTTTGCTAAAATGTTGTATAAGACAATGAAGTATTTCCTGTCATAAAAAACACAATGGTGGCTGTAGATGAGAAGAAAATAATGTTTCTTGCCTTCCATCACCATATGTCCCTCCCATTCTCTCTCTTTCTGTTTTTTAACTTCATTGCTTTTCTTCTCCTGTCCCACCCCATTCTCATGCTTAAATCTAAAGCACTCCAACATATATGTTTTCTGCCCTTCCTTTTCTTGGCATTATAGTTTGTTTGGTGGAGGAAAGGCACAGAATTCACCCTTAGCACAGGCATCATGGGTCCTGTCATTTCCTGAAATGCTCCCTCAGCCCCTGAGTGTCATGAACCTAGCAGACATGATATAGCCCTTGTGTAAATGGAGGTTACCAATAAAGTGTCCAATATCAAACAGCATTAAGTCACCTCAAATGTGATAGGATTTTACCATCTATAAAATCCCAAGCCACATTAAAGGTGATAATTAAAGGTGATCTTACCACAATACCTAATATTAAACCAATAATAATGATAATAATAACAATAATAAAATCCATTGCCATTGATGCTATGTGACGGTGAGTCACTTCATGAAATGGAATCTGAGAAAAAAAAATAGAAGCATTTACAGATGCTTATTAGATTCCAAAGGAGGAATCCAAGTAAAGCAACCCCAGTTCTATGCCTGTAACATATAATAACAATGTAATAACATAATATGACAATAAAAACAATATAAACTCACATTAAATTATTTTCTGTTTTTTATTGTCCCGTGATTTTATGGGTATAGGAGCTCCTATAACTCATTCTACCAATATTAGTCCACACAACTGGTCAGTAATTTATAATTTAGAGAGTTGCTTAGGGCACTGAATTTTTTAGTGACTTGACCAGGGTCATGCCAGCAATATGTGTCAAAGAGAGGACTTAAATTCCTGTCTTCTTGACACTAAGGTCAGCTAAGTTTTGAAAGCTTCTTATATACCTCATCTCATTTAAGACTTGCAAAACTTCTGTGAAGTCAATATTACAAATACTATTAGCTCCATTTTGGAGAAGAGAAACCTGATACTTGGAAGGGTAAGACTTGCCTAGATTTTTAATTTCTTAACTATCAGAGGAAGAATTTGTATTCAGGTTCTCTTCTCCATGTCTACCATGTGAGCCACTACAGGAAGTTATGTCTCTAGTTCATGAAATCATAGTGGAAGGAGCTGAGTAAGAAAAGAACTCAATTTGAATTTCCCTCTCACAATGTGGTTGGTTTGGTGACCCTGGAAAAAAAATCAGTTAAACTCTTGAGCCTCAATTCCCTTACCTTAAGCTGAACATAATCATAATTAAAAACAATGATACTATAGTGACAACTGCCGTCCTCAGAGGATTACTTTGAAAATTATGTAAGATAGAGGACATTTCTTTGTAAACCTTAAAGCTAAAACAAAATCAAGTATTAACTCTTAAAGGATTTTATTCAACCATCTGAAGATCTTTTTTTTTTAATTTGGACATGGGTTTCTTCATAGTACCATAGATGCCAGCCAGTAACATAGTCATTTTATATAAGGAATGCATAACATGAGGCACAAAGCATTTGGAAAATATCAATAAGTAAAACTAGTCAGATGAATATTCTTCTCATGGATGTTGATAGAAGGGATTCCTATTTAGGCATGGGTTGGGCTACCCTAAATCTGAGGGCCCTTTTGAAAGTTTTCTTTATTTAGTTGTACCTAATGGCCACTCCCTGCCTCTCCAAACAGAGAAAATATTTGTACAAATGATTCCTATAGATAATAATTAATAAAATTCTCCCCAACAACCTTGTTCCTTTAAGACCCTGGGGTTCTAAACCATTTGTGTGTCATGGACTTCTTCAAAGTCTAGTGAAATCTGTGGCCTGTACCTCAGAATAATGTTTTGAAGTGCATAAAATAAGATAGATTAGAGGAAGACTAATTACATTGTAATACAGTCACATATTTATATAACTGTATATATATACAGCATAAAATTATGTATGTATGTATGCATGCATGTTACTATATAACCATATATATGTATATATATATATATATGTGTGTGTGTGTGTGTGTCTGTATATGTGTGTGTGTATATGTGTTTATACAGCACCTAACTTTCTGTTATCTGTTGCATATCGTGGAGGTCAGGGGCATAGAACTCCTACGATCTGGAAAATTCACACTAAATTTTTTTGGCCTTCCTTTCGTATCAGAGAAGAAGTCTGAATTTTTTTTTTCATTTTCTTTTATGGAGTGTTTATAGTAGTACCTTACTGTAAAATTTGGGTTAAGTATTTGGAAATAGGCTCTGCGTCATATGCAGATTCTGCAAAACTCCCAAAAAATTCCCATTTAAGTTCTTATGATAACCTTGATATATGGAAACTGGGAAGGGGAAAAGTTGTGATGTGGAAGAGATAACTGTGTATCTTTATATACAATTTGTATATATAGAAATGTAGTTACACATGTGCATATATGTATATATGCATGTTATATGTGCATATGCATGTGAATTTGTACAAACACATAAATTCATGGACCCTAGGTTAAGAAATCCAGTTTTAAGGCAGATAGTAGTCATCTGGTACTTTCATTACCTTAGGTGATGGGGGCTCCATAACTAAGCATAGGGAAAAAATGGCTAGGAGAGACACGTTCAGATGTTCTGGGAGAAAGGAAAAAAAATACTGTGCTCATGTCCCAGTTTTTAGCTGCATCTGAGAACCGGGATTTCAGCTTTCCCTGTTCATCATCAACAAAGTTCTATCCCTTCTACCCTTAGAAAGAATGAGGCCTACAGGAATCTTTGGGCCCTAGGATTTAGAGCTGAAAGGATACTTACACACTATCTAGTCTGACACTCTTATTTTACAAATAAAGAAGCAGACACTGAGAGAGTACCAAACTGGCCAAAGTTTCCAAGCCAGTAAGTTGCAGAGCCATTCTCAGAATCTCAACACCTACGTAGATGACCCTATGAAATTGTAACTTGAGAAAAATAAAATGCTTAGCATAGTACCTCTCATACATAAGTACATATTCCCTTCCCTTCCTCTTCTTCCTTCCATATGTTAAACATGTGACACCATCTCAATTTAAATGAATTTGACAGTGCTCATTTTCTCATTCTCTATTTTTTTTCTGCATTATAAGTTCCTGAGGTCAAAGAATCCTTTACCCTGTGACCAGCATTCTCTATAAGCCTCTCTATACTTGGCTAGCTTGATCTTCAGAATGTAGACATGGTCTTTTTCTAAGAATTTCATCTTTTCTACCTTTTCTAGAACTTTTCTAGTTGTGATCCCAATTGCACAACTTCTAGAGCCCTGGATCATTTCCACAGAACAATGAGACTTTTCTCCCCTGCTTATTCTTTCCTAATAACATTACTAAGTTCTATTTCTGTTCAGTCCTACTTCTCTTAAAACCTAGATTTCAGATTCAAATGTGTTTCTTTTTTTCCTTTTGGAGAATTAATTCATTATTAAGATTCATTTTAACCAAGTTTTCTCTTTTAGTATTCTATCCATCTTCTACTTAGAGCTTTTCCAGAATAATCTTTTTTTTTTTTTTGGAGTGGGGGGATCAGGTAACAACTTCTTTGCTTTTCAAATTAGGTGTGCCTACAATAATCTGGGACAAATAAAGTAACATTCAAATTACTGTGATGTTTTAAGAAGGAACAATATTTCCCACTGACATAAACATTTCAACATCCTTTTCTAAAGCAATAGATTAAGCTAAAATATATTCACCTGTTAATGCTCAATAGAAGAATTTTAAACTCTATAAGCTTTTTAAATTCCATGAGTCCTAATTAATCTGAATAATGTTTTGTTTCTTTCTGCTGATCAGCTGAAGGCGCCTGTGGTGGAACTTTGAGAGGGACAAGTGGTGCTATTTTTAGCCCTCATTTCCCTTCCGAGTATGACAACAATGCTGACTGCACATGGACCATTCTTGCTGAGCCTGGAGATACCATTGCTTTGGTCTTTACTGACTTCCAGCTAGAAGAAGGTTATGATTTCTTAGAAATCAGTGGGACAGAAGCACCATCAATATGGTAAGTACAAGAAGGATTATGAGCATGGAATTGAAACATAATCACTGATAAACCTAGGATTCAACAGTGAATTTTATTCACTGCCTTATAATTCATTCATCATCCATGGTTGACGAAAAGAAACAGTGAATCGATTGTATTGACTTCAGAGGCCCCATGCAGGTATTGTGCTTGTTTGTGAGGCTTGAAAGGGAATCTAAAAACTCTCTGTGACGCATTAACTTCCTGACATCTGTCAATCCGTTGCCCCATCCACAGCCTCTGTCAGTTTGAAAGCAGTAGAGAAGAGAGTTGTTATATGCCATTTGGAGATGAAATGAGGTAGGAAAAAAAAGGATAGAAAAGAACAAGTGGGAACTGACATCTCTGGAATTGCTTTCTTTTTTCTTTTTTTATTCCCTTGAGATTGTGTGGTCAATGCAACAGAGATATATGTATGTATAGAGATTGCCTATTGAATTTAATGATGATGCCACAAATGATTCTGCTATCTGGGTGGAGTGTGACTGAAAAAATGTTATGTCAAAACTAATCAAATTGACAGAATAAAATGGGAAATATAAGCCTCTGCCAATAGTCATTTTTAAGAATCAAAAATAAAACCAAATATGAGACCCTACTTCTTAGCAAATAACCCAACTTAACACCAGTGAACCAAATGTCAGTTATCTTGAATTTATGCTTACAAAGGAAAATGTTATTGAATTTACTGCTATCTTTTGCAGTTTGGATGGTGGTTTGTGTATTAAGGGAAATTTCTCATCAATATTGTGTAATATGACTTGAAACTATGATTCTCAATAATATCTTGTAGCCATCAATCTATAATTTTTCAATTTTTATAACTGATAAGTTGGTAACTCAGATACCTGAGGAAGGCAATTAAGAGTCCTTAAGTGAGTAAGCTGGGTGTCATAATTAAAGGGCACATAAAGAGTAAAACTGAAAATATTGGTTTTTCTCAGTAGCTGTGTGATATGGTTATAATGAAGGGGCAGCTGTGGATGTGTATAACTGGAAACTTAATAATTGAGTTGTAAAAGCATAAATATTTGATTTCTGCAGATAATTGAAACAAAATGTTATGAGCTGTTGTATGATCGCAAAGATACCAGAATTATCCGTTCTTTAATTCATTTTGTTTTTCCTCAGCAAATCCTGAGTACTGGGTATTTTTTATTTTGTCATGCTGAGAGAGGTAGGCAGAATGTTGCATCCACGCATCCATAAGCAAAAGATAAGGTCGATCCAGTGATTGTGCACAGGACCAGCCCTTGTAGTATTTACTGAAAGGTCTGGAAATCATGGTGTTAGAAGAGATCGTAGAGACCATCTACAGATCCAAAGTTTTTGGACTTTCTTTAATAGGATATGATGTAAATGTGGGGGTGCTATTATTGTCATTTCATGTGTTGTGAGGAGATAAATGAAATCTTAGTTGAGTTGTTTCAAAGTATTTACTGAAACACATCAGATGTAATTGGTTAAGTAGATATGTCTTCTTTCTGTTCCATTTTCCTTTTCAAAACTGGAGAAATGTCATCTTTATTATTATGATTTGTATTTTGTGCTTCATTTACTTTGGTGAAAATTTATAATACTTTCTTATTTATTATGTAAATTTCTCAGTTTACTCCTCAAGTGTTGGTGATATTTGGATCTCAAAACTTGCATACAATTGTTTATTTACTTTTTTTTCTTTTTTCTTTTACTTATTTTAAAGAGGACAAAACAGTATAATGGAAAGCTGAGTGATGTTCAGAGATCAGAGCTCTCATTTAATCCTAGCTGTGCTACTAGTTGTCTATAAGAAATTGAGTAAGGCAATTTTTACCTTTCCAGGCCTCAGTTTCCTCAATTATAAAAGGAAAAGATTAATTAGAAAACTCCTAAGGTTTCTTCTAATCGTAAAAGCTATGATTCCATGATTAGATGATGTCTGATGTTCCTTATATTCTTTGATGCTCATTTTTAAGAAATCATGGAATTTAACTTTTGTCTTCAAAAAGTATATATTTTCAAAGGTGTAATTAACAAGGAAATATTGGCAACTTTTGATAAGTATAGATTGTTGACCTTGCAGAAGAGATATGAAAGAATACTCTTCATAAGCAAAAGTAACAGGTAACTGACAAAACTGTATTATCATTAGTTTATACTTGAGAGTTGATTTCATTATGCTAAAGAAAGGAAACTGTAATAACTACAATAAAGATAATTATTAAGCCACCAAAGACCACAAAAATATATTCATTAGTTGACCTGGTTGGTGTTGAGCAAGTTCTCTCCTTCTTTCTTTATATTTTTTCCTTTATGTGAGAAAAGCAGAAGAATAATCCAGCTGGACTAGAGTAGAATGTGTCAGGAAAGCAGTACTATTAAAGTAAGATTAAAAAAAAAAAAGCCAAATGGTACCAAATTGTGGAGGGCAGGCAGTAGAGGGGTTTGAGTAAGCCGATACTCACTAGGAAAGTGAAGATTTTTTGAACAAAGAAGTGACATGCCAAAATCTATACATAAGAAAGAGTATTCTGGAAGTTGTACAAGAATCAAGTGGTTAGAAGGGAAGACAGAGGAGGTGCAAAGATGATTTTAATTCAGTCCTTTGTTTTTGAAATAGGAAGTTCAAGGAGAAAGAATCTGAAATCAATTATTTTGCATACTCTCCTCTTCTCTGTACTTTATTTTCTTTCTGACACTGAACTTCTAATGTTACTCCTCCTTCTTTCTTCACCCCAACTACACTTGTACTTTTGCAAGTATGTCTCCTATTTTGGTGGTTAGAGGTGTTAGAAGGGTACATATCGATGAGGCCAGGGTATCCCCTCCCACCATTTTCTCAAAATTATTGTAAATTAAATCTCTAGTTTGTCACCATAGTTACCTAGTGGGATTACTTAAAAATCCTAATACTAGGAAGATCAGTTGGAAAGTACAGTAAAATGTAGGATATAAAGGGCCTTTTTCCATAAAAGAAATCCCTACGCTCTATCTCCAGTGCCGGCATATGTGGGACTACAAGTCACTTCTGCTGATTTTGTCCTAAAAAGTTCTGATTATGGCAAGAAGATCTGAAGGAGTAGAGAAAGGGAAGAATGATGGGAACTTAGTTTCTTTCTTCACTATACCTTCAGGTTCTTAAGCTATTTCTTCCTCTGCTCCTGACAAATCTGATGGATTGTTTACTCAGTCAGAAGTAAAGAGGATTAAGTTTTTACATCTATACTGAAAGTCATTAGATCAACAAGGATTTATTTTTTTTCTTTCTTTTTCTTTCTTTTTCTTTTTTTTTGGGGGGGGGCATCTGGGCAATGGGGTTAAGTGACTTGCCCAGGGTCACACAACTAGTAAATGTTATGTGTCTGAGGCCGGATTTGAACTCAGGACTTCCTGAATCCAGGGCCAGTGCTCTATCCACTGTGCCACCTAGCTGCCCCCCTCAACAAGGATTTATGAAGTACCAACTACATGATAGCATTTAAATAGCATATTTTTTATTACAACTACTACATGCCTGAAATTGAGCTAAGTGCTGGTGATACAAAGACATAAATTAAACACTCCCTACCCTCAAAGAGCTTGCATTTGATCAGAGAAGACAACATATACATATAGGTATATATAATATAGATATAAGGTATTGGTGGAAAGGGAGGGCCCTAGACCCTGGAAGAATCTGGAAGGACTTCATGTAGAAGGCACTAAAGCTGAGTCTTTAAAGAAACTAAAAGTTTTAGGAGACATTCACTTAAGGAAGTGGTAAAATAGTATATTGTAAACATGGAAAACAAAAGATACTAAATGGTATCAGGGAAATAATAAAATAAATATAAATGATAAAAGATTAACACATGCATGAAAAGTAGCTATATAACTTTCACATACAAAGAAAATTATACTTATATATATACTTATTCAGATATACGTATACATATATATACGTGTGTGTGTGTGTGTGTGTGTGTGTGTATATATGGAGAGAGAGAGAGAGAGAGAGAGAGAGAGAGAGAGAGAGAGAGAGAGAGAGAGAGGAGAGAGAGAGAGAAAGTATAATTCCAAGAAAAATCATTCAAAAAACAATAGTATGGGAACCTTAATTCTGGGACCAAATTTAAAAGTTAGTTGGTATTTTCAATGATGATGACTTTTTGATCAATTTAGCACATAATTATAGCTATATAGCAATTTTTAAATAGCATGTTCTTCATTCCATTACTTTTCAGTGAGAAGTTAAAATAGTCTTGGGATTTTTGCCCTAAATTAACTTTCTTAAAATCTGCAAAAGTATATTTAAAATATATTACAGGAAAAAAGAAACACTTCATTTAACTCTTTAGAAAATATATTTTGGCTCATTAAAAAAATGTTCTGACAGTACTTTTTTATTAATTTATTTTGATTTATCAACAATCACTTCCATAAGCTTTTGTGTGTTAAATTTTTCTCCTCCTCCCTCCCACTCTCCCTTCCCAAGATGGTGCACAATCTGATATAGGCTCTACATATACATTCCTATTAAACATATTTTCACATTAGTGATGTTGTAAGTAGGAATTATAACCAATAGGAGGAACCACCAAAAAAAGGAAACAAAACACAACAGAAGAAAAAAATAGCAAAAAATGTTCTTCGATCTTCATTCAAACTCCATAGTTCGTTCTTTGGATGTGGATAGCATTTTCCATCTGACAGTACTTTCAGATCAATGGTGAAATATTGTTCAGTCGTTTCAGTTGTGTCCAGCTCTTCCTGACCCCATTTTAGGTTTTCTTGGCAGAGATACTGGAGTGGAATGAGGAAACTGAGGCAAACAGGATTAAATTTCTTGTCCTAGGTCATACAAATAGTAAGCGTCTGAAACCGGATTTGAAATCAGGAAGATGAGTTTTTCTGACTTCAGGCTGGGCACTCTATCCACTGTGCCACCTGCCTGTCCCCCTGAAACATTAATGGTCTCAAGTGGAGTGTCTAAATGGTTCACCTATCCTTGAAATATAAGA